GCCCTTTGCTGCAATACCCATAACGCGCGTTACAAAATTTCTCTTTCTACTACATAATAGGTTTTCTTAAATTGCCTATGATTTCCCTAATACTCGGTTAATTTAAGTTAATTTATCTGGTGTTGTAATAGGTATTGATTTCACGTTCCATATCACGTATTTCCATAATATCAGTTTTGAGTCGTTGTTTTAGTATTTCACGGAAAATGGCCTCCCGATCGCCGTTGTGACTGATGCCCATACGTTGTAGGGAATAATCGTTGATGCGGAGCAGCGCACGGCCCGTGATTTCATGCTAAAAACGAAAAACAAAGATAGTTTTTGTTAATACTACGTAAATAAGTTAAAATAAGTTAAAGCCTTTATCATTGTGCGAGATCAAACCAGGACCTTCTGTCGATTGATGAAACGATTACGAGAAATTCCGCAATATAATTGAGACAATAACACTGTAGAGTTAATAGCGGCGTGAAAAAGAGAACTCTTTGAATTCGGAAAATTAAAATTATGCTTTATAAAATTCAAAGTCAAAATTTGTGAGTAAAGCTACAGCTATTCCAAGATCAATGACTTCCAAAGTTGTTATCGTTTATCCACAGACATTAGAATACAAGTAGGTTAGGTTAGGTTTAGGTGGCTACCCCTAAAGAGGCTCACTTAGACCGTGGAAGTTGGTCCTTTGTGATACTACTGCGTACGGTATCTGCTACGTTAGAGCGAGAATAGCTGAGTGCCGAGAACAAAGTTTCGCAGGTGGCCAATCTTAATTCCGAAAAGCTCCTCCGGACTTGTCAGAGAGTATGAATCTAAGTGTCTAAGGCGCAATCTTGCAAAAGCCGGGAAGTCTTGGAGGAAACGCTGAGATGACCCCACCTCGTCGTCCTCCATGCAGCTGCGACATAGGGCGTCCGGTAAGATATTTAATCTCACTGCATGAACCCCGACAGGACAATGCCCTGTCAGTACACCTACCAGGATCGCGAGATCTGGCTTCGCGTGCCTAAGGAGATCCCAGCGTTCGCTGAGTTGACCCGAGGCTCATCTTCACAAGAGAAGTCCACAAGTAGTCAAGGGAACTCCCACTATCTCTCTACGTGGCGATAATTCCTCAAGGGTGGCGCCTCTGGCCAGTTCAGCCGCCGCGCAGGTTTTTGTGATATCACTATGGCCTGGCACCCAGATAAGTCTGACAAAGTAGTATTCCGACGAAATCGAATCCCGTGGCTGTTAGGGCTGCTAGATAGCAGGTCCGACTCATTGATACTCCACTTTTAATACTCACCTTAGAGAAAAGTTCCAGATATTGTGGATATTCGCCGCAATGCCGCATATACCATTTCCGCACATCAGTAACCGACCACAGGCACACCGACTTCGGACGTGCAGTCTTCATGCGCGGCCGGCTACTTTGCGTTGTTTCCTCCACCATTTGGCTGATGACTTTCTCACTACAGAAGTCTTTACGACAATTGTTATGCAGCTGCTCAATATTTTAATGGTCCTTCCTGTTTTTTATTTCTGTTTTGTCATTGCAAATCGTCTTTTTACTTCCTTGAACTTTGTTTCCACATAGCGAACAGTGTTGGCAAACAACAATGACAAATTCGATACTTACGATAGTTTTAGGTTTTTCTGCATATCGACGACTTTTCAGAACTATCGAGTATTTTCATTCTCGAACATCTTCCATAACTGGACGTCTTCACCTGCTTGAAAACCTCGACTACATTCAACAAAGAACGTAATTCTATCGAAAGATGCAACACGTTATAATTGCAGCGAGTGTGTTGCCCAAATACGTTTTCTGATAGGATAAGAGAAGGCAGGCTCCTGATATTCACACTCGCTCCAATTACAACGTGTTGTCTCCTCTTATAGATTTACGTACTTCGCGTTCTACTTGTTTTTCTCGCAAGCGAGAGAGAGTTTTTTTTGGTGGGCAATAGACGGGATACTTTTTCATTTGCAAAATGTCACCAAACCAAAATGTTTGAGCCTTCCCTACAAAAATCGTTGGATCATGTAGTCCATTTGTGGTAAATTGGAGTACTTACAAAAGTGTTCCTCTGTCATGCTGTAGCGGATTAACTGGTGTCTCTGCGCTGGCTCATTGTTTGTTATCCGATCACTGCTCGTGTTTTAACGAAACGTGATTGAAGTTGAGCATTTGAAAGCACATTTGCATGTCTGGCTGTAGCTGAACGTGTAGAGATGCTCGCTGTTAGTTCTTAGCTCCCAGCATGTTCGGGTTCGAATACCGTCAGAGGCAACATATAATTTTTAATTTTTGTCTTGGTTTTTATTAATTTCGAAAAAGTATTTGAGAAGTGAAGAACAAAAGCGTGTACAAACGAAAAAATATAGCAACAATGCCATTGTTAATATGTTGGAGTAGTTTTGTGCTACTCTGATGTAATGCGGGGATGGAGTATATGGTCCTGCCCTAGGACATCGCAATGTTAATTGGACCATATTTTTTATATGAATTGTGGTTAATTTTGGAGTACTCCTTGGTCCTTAGGGAGTACTTTTTACACGCATGCATGGAGTAGTCGCGATTTTTGCAGGGTTATAGGCTCTAAAAAATTTGGAAAAATTAGAAAATATAAAGGAGAGAAAAAAGACGTACATAACGGGCTTGGGTCTAAATTTGTATTTGACCTCAAAAGAAACGATGTTGCTACTCTGAACAATTCGGAGAAATAAGAAAATAACTGTCAAATAAAAAAATGACAGTTGAAAACAAGCTCCGGCCGATAATTAAAAAAATATATCTAACAATTTTTCAGTACCAAAGAACGTAAATATACTTTTATCCTTTTTTTAAATAGTGTTAATTTACCACAGATTTATGTTCGTTGATAAATTTACATTCGTTCTTTAATTACATCCTCATCATTTTTGGAAATAAGGTTTCAAAAATCCTTTAAATTTGTAATGGTAACACTTTATGCAGCAGTTGGCTGCGTTGCTTGCATGACTGGCGGTTCGTGAACTGTCATCTGTCATCATTCTGCCCCAAAGCGAAAAGCAAAAAAGTGATTTTCATTTTCCAAAGTAGAAATTTAGAAAAATCATCGCGAATTTTCCTCAACAAAGGAGTCACATCGAAAACATATAGAAGAGCAACTAAATTGAAGGAAATTTTTTGAAAATTTGTTTGCAGTAACAGGAAAATGGCCGGAGCAACCTTATTTGCACGCGCTCAAGCCCTCACCAGCGTCAATCGTGAGGAGGGCATTACGCTGCTGAATAAAATTGTGCGTGAACAAGAAGTAGCTGAGAATGACGAGGAGTTGATTCGTTTGAAGGAGCAGGGTATCCTGCAGTTGGGAGAGTTGTACAAGCAAGAAGGTAAAGCCAAGGAATTGGCCGATCTGATTAAGGTGACACGTCCCTTCCTCAGTTTGATAAGCAAAGCGAAGGCAGCTAAAATGGTGCGCACGCTAGTCGATATGTTTCTAGACATGGATGCTGGCACGGGAATAGAGGTAAGTAAACAAACGGCTATAATTAAATAAACTTTTTGTTTAAAAGCTTATAAATGTTCAATAACTAATACTACAGGTGCAATTATGTAAAGACTGCATTGAGTGGGCTAAACAAGAAAAGCGCACATTTTTACGCCAATCGTTGGAGGCCCGACTTATTGCATTATTCTTCGATACAGGCTTGTATACAGACGCCTTGGCACTTGGTTCTCAATTGTTGCGTGAATTGAAAAAATTGGATGATAAGAATCTCCTCGTTGAGGTACAACTATTGGAGAGCAAAACCTATCATGCACTTAGTAATCTACCGAAAGCACGCGCCGCACTCACCTCTGCACGCACAACCGCCAATGCGATATACTGTCCGCCCAAGGTGCAAGGTGCTCTCGATTTGCAATCGGGTATATTGCATGCAGCCGATGAACGCGATTTTAAAACGGCCTTCTCCTACTTTTACGAAGCATTCGAGAGTTACGACAGCGTTGATAATGCAAAGGCTTTAACTGGTTTAAAGTATATGTTGTTGTGCAAAATTATGTTGGGGCAATCTGAGGATGTCAATCAGATTGTGAGCGGCAAATTGGTAAGCTAAATACCATTTGATTTTTAGAAATTACGGCTAATTTTATTTAAAAAATGGACAGGCTATCACTTATTCGGGTCGCGATATTGATGCTATGAAAGCTGTGGCGGAAGCTTCACACAAACGTTCTCTTGCCGATTTCCAAGATGCATTGAAGGATTACAAAAAAGAATTGACAGAGGATGTTATTGTCCAAGCGCATTTGGGTACGCTTTACGACACAATGTTGGAACAGAATCTGTGCCGCATCATTGAACCGTATTCAAGGGTGCAGGT